TGTGTGTGTGTGTGTGTGTGTGTGAGCGAGAGAAGGAGGCACCTGGGTGGGGCGCTCTGCACGCATACGCAACCCTTTCTAGATAACAGCAGGAAGGAAGATTTCTGTGGCGAAAGGATGGAGGGTGAAATAAAAGGCGAATTGGAGGAGGAAAATGATTGATTTTAAAAACTGGAGGAGACAGGTTAATGTGTGATGACGTAAGGTGGGAGAGAAGAGAGGAAGTCAATGTACCCTTTGCAACCGTCAGCTTAGTCATTGGAGGCGCCATGATGGAAATGAGGATCAGTTGTATTGAACAGATCGACTGAAAATGTTTTTGCCAGTTTATTCATGGCTTCTACTTGTTCAAAGTCGAGCTAATTTGTCTGAACGTAACACGCCTGGTTGAGGCTCATAGACGGAATCCGAACCTCCTCCCTCCTGACGTGTTGATCAAATTACAGATTTTGCCTGAATTCACACCACGTGATTTATATCATTTCCCTTCACACCAGAGCAATATTCAAAGCGTACAAAACACGAGAGGCTAACCAGTTTTTTCCATACATGCTAGGCTACATGACAGTGCGGTGTAGTTTCTATGGTTACCAATGTACACGTACCTTCTCCATAATGCGATATTTAATATCTTTCTAATCATACTCATAAAGAATATGAACGTTAATCTTCTTACCTTGTAAAAAGTGTTTATTGCGGATCCGAGGTTACACCGAGGGCTGACGGTCATTATGATTGACTTCTGCTGTCCGTCACCGCCGTATTTCCTCATGAAAAGTTATACAATAAAACGACAAGTTTGGTTTTCACCCTTATTTTGCTACCAGATATCCGTTTTCTGACGGGCTTACAGGAGTGAATTGGTTGTTTTAACGTCCATCATGGCGGTGTTCTGAAGACTGTGACGTCACCTACAAAGGGTCAGTAGCACATTTCAGCAACAAGGCTGTTCAAAGTGCTTTACATGATAAAAATACAAATAATTGAGGCATTACATTTTGCCAGGTGAAATCATACATCAAATGTTGGTCAGTGTTTCATTTATTAGGTTTCAAAAGCAGCTCTAACCAGTCTGAATTTAAAGGAACTAAGTGTTTCGGCTGTTTTACAGTTTTCTGGAAGTTTGTTCCAGATTTGTGATGCATAGAAGCTGAATGCTGCTTCTCCATGATGGATTCTGGTTCTGGGGAATGAGAGCAGAATGTAACCAGAAGACCTGGAAGGTTGATACAACAGCAGCAGATCTTTAATGTATTGTGGTGCTGAATTGATCAGTGATTTTTAAACTAACATAATTTTAAAGTCTATTCTCTTAGCTACAAGGAGCCAGTGTAGGGTCTTTAGAACTGGGTCGATGTGCTCCATCTTCCTGGTTTTAGTGAGAATGCAAGCAGCAGCGTTCTGGATCAGGAGAAGGGAAGATGAGCTGCAGGGAGTCTGCCGTCAGCCAGAGGAAACCCAGTTGGCAGTCTGACAGATCAGCTTCCTGTGTGTGTGGTGGAGGTCTGGGCGTGGTCCCTCCAGCAGCAACGACACAGACAGGCACACTTTCTCCAGAGGCCTCCTCCCTGGGACCGCCTCAGACCTCCTTCCTTTGTGATGGTGGACTTATCGAACCGCGCTCAGACTTTTCTCCAGCTGAGGTCATTGAAAACACTCTGAAGGCCGACTGTTTATGGAACGTTTCCCACCTTTTGTCACAACCACAAATTTAATTGAGATTTTATTTGAAAAATCATTATGAGGTGGTTAAAAAACTGAAAGAGGAAATATTTTTTGGGGGGGTGGGGGGGTCGTTGTGTGGAAAAAAAGGATACATGATTGTATTTTATTTTTTTCCAAACACAGCCACTTCCTCCTAAAAGTTTACTGTTAATATTCAGCTTGGACGATATGGCTGAAAAACATATCAAAATACAAGTCGACATTGATAATTATTGATTAGTTGTTTTTTTTAAACTCTTTTATCCACAGTTTATCCACAGTTTTTACTCTGCGCCATAGTGTTTTTATTTTTAAGCAGTTATGAGGCACAGAGGGAAAACTTTAAACTGCTGCTGCGGCAGTTACTCAGCAGATGGTTGCTAAGTAACCAAAGAATGAGTGAGCTAGTTGTTGCTAGGTAACCAGAGAGTGAGTTAGTTCTGAGTTCAGTGAATTTTTTAAATGTACAGACATATTATCTGCTGGTACTGATCACACGTCTATCGCAATACATATTGTTATTGATTTATTATCTAGCCCTAAGCTACCATTTTAAAGACATAAATGTTTACATTTTTGCTAATTTTTTCTTTGCATCACAGCTTAGGCTAAGTCAGATCACTGTGACCAGCTATTTTTAAGTTTTGCCACAAATTCTGAATTGTCAGATTTTTATTTGTAAAAAAGAGAAAAACGCATAACTTCACTCCTTCCCATAAATTTGTTTTAAATGGCATAAAGGAGAAGCCACAAGAAGCTTGATCCAACTGTACCAGAAAAAACATGTTACTCTAGGAACCAAGTCCAGGATTTCACTTCCTCTACTTCTGCAGTCACCTACTAGCAGGTGAAACAATACACTACCAAAACAATCACCTATCATGGCATGCAGCGTAGTGAAACTCAGCTTAATCAATCTAATATGCAGTGAAAACAATAATTGACTTGATTATTGCTTAAATTTTACAATTAAAAATCCTTGAAATTACCAAAAAGTTAATATTCCTAGTTATTAGACTAATAAAAAGCTCAATGCGATGTTATTGGGGCTGTAGTTACTCATATTTGGTGCTGATAATTTAACTTTCCTTGTGATCCCCCAGCAGTGCTGCAGTTTTACCCCCAGATACTTTTAAGGCTTCATCCTGAATTGCTGGTTTGTCCCAAAGCATCTGTGCCCTCATACTTCACACACAAAAGAATCCCGGGGGCAGAAATGACTGTTATTTTGTTGTTGTCGATTTCACAAAGGCACGCACCAGAGGGACACAGGCATCCAGAAATACACAGAGCCATGGTGAACGAATATAACCCGCGTGTATTTACAAAAGTCTATAAATACAAACTGCTTTCTTTAGCTGAGGCCAACACAGAGAGAGAGTGTGTGTGTGTGAGCCAGTAACCAGTTCAAACACACTACAGGCTGCTGCCCTAATGCCGTGTGGTCAGTGGAGTTGGACACACACACACACACTGACAGAGGCAATGATTGGAAAGGAGTAAAGTAATGAGAAGCAGGGAGAGAATGAAGAAACAGATGATGAAGTTTGAGCTAATTTTGAGATTTATTAGCGGACCATAAAACTTTCTCGCTGCCACTCCCGTCCAGTGAAGCTCATCAGAGTCTGAAGGTGATCATATAGGCTCAGCTCTGTTTTCATCATCTTATTTCTCACATATCAGGCAACAAAAAATATATTTTTGTACACTTTGTTTAGTTTTACAGGGGACCTGTTACGAACTTGTACTTTCATTTTGGGCTCTTCTGTTTCTAAAAATAACCCAAGTGCTTGAAAAACACACCCAGCTGTTTGTTGGCAATACGTCAATGGTTTTTGGTGATGGTCAGTGAGAAGCACTTCCCTTCACCTAGCAACCCCAGCAAACCCTGCCTGTTACCTAACAACTCAAGCTGAGCTCCAGCATGTTTGGCCAGCTGGTTTTACTGCTGTATGTGCTGTACAATGGCTGCTGGAAGAGATAACAGTTTTGTTGTTTACTTTCCATTTAAAAACCTCTTTCTGCATTCTTATTGGTTGTGTGGGAGGCTCCACTTCTGCTTTTCCAAGATGTACGGTTGTGTAATTGCACATCTGTTTTCACACGAGAGAGTAAACCCAAGGCCTACCATCTGGTTTGGTTTACAGCTTCTGTTTATTTGGACTTTGAATTCAGGTCAACTCCCAGAAGAGATGATTGAGATAAAAGCCAGTTTTTAAAAATATTTTCTGCCATTTGTAATTTCTTTTAAAGAAGAAAAAGCGAGAAAAAAATTATTGAAAATTACAAATTGAATTAGGTATGAAAAATAAAAAAAATTATTTCCTAGATTCAAGTAGTAATAGCAATAAACATTATAAAAGGGACAACGCAGTGCTCAAACATAAATGTCACCATTTGATTTGTTTTGCCAAAATTTAGCACTAGCTAATTCACATCTGCAGTTCCTTGGACTGGTCGTTATAATACAACACAATCATAAAATAAAACATAAAATATAACCCTACAAGTTGCTTTCTAGCTTATAAAATGTGAAGTACTTATTACTTTAGACCAACATTTAGCATTATAATTTTAATATTGGAGCAAAACCTAGAGAAACTCTGCTAGTTTATAAACAGTGAAGTACCAGAACAAGAGTCAAAGATGGGGAACCAAAATTTAGCTTTTTACTTTACAAATCTATAAGAAACTTAGCAACAGAACAACTGGAACATTTTGTTTTTCTTTCATTGTGCTTGTGTTGTTTTTTGTTTTTCTTTTAATTCATGTAAAGCACTGAGCTGCCATGTTGCTGAAATTTTGATAAATAAATAAATCTTCTGTTTTCTAATCACAGTACACAGACAAACACACATGGTCAAACAGTTAAATCTCTCATGGATCAAAGATGGGTGTTTTTTCCACTTTTCACTGAGATGTGTCCCGGTTGCTAAAGAAACGCTTGTGAAGTGTGTTTCCCCGCTGAGATTTTTAAATGAGTTCGACAGAGGTCCTGCTGTAGGTGTGCCTGTTCGCGCCACGCTAACATCAGCCTGAGCTTTTCAGAACAGGAACCTCTCCCTCCCTGGCTGCTTCTACTTCCAACTATTCTCCGTCTTTCATTCCCAACCACTCTTTTTATCTTTATTACCCTCCATCTATCCCTCTTCCTCACTCTCTCCCCTCCACCCTCGTCTGACCGTGAATGAATGCTCTCTGACTAGTGGAACATATGCTGCTGGTTGTTCAATACCCTCCCTCTGAGCGGGGGCACATCCACGCATGTGTGTGTGTGTGCGTGTGTGTTCATTGAAACATACGCCTCCTGTTGCACATCGGCCATCTGTTCCTTGAATGGACTGATGGAGTGCTGCTGTAACCATGACTATAGGCCATTCAGTCAAACTGCCCCTGCCTCCCTCTCTTTCTCTCTGTTTCTCTCTGTGTTTGTGTGTGTTTATGTTTAGGAATTGGCTGGCAGAGTGGAGGAATTCCCACATGTTGATAAAAGGATGCTGACCTTCCACGGCGACCTGCTCCTACTTTATCCAGTCCTCCTTTGGTCTCCACATTCACAGAGATTTGTTTTTACTGTAGCTGAGGAAGCAGTACCCATCGCCCAGCTGGAGCACTTATAAACCCCAGAGAAAGGGAAGCACAAAGTAATCAGAGAGCAACGCTGGAAAACACGAGGTAAACAAGAAAGAAAGATCACTTTACATTTGAAACTTCAAGTTTTGCAATATGAAAATATATCGTCACCTTCAAAAAATAAGGCTGTCAAAAATCAGGCAAAAGAAAAATTTCCACAAATCAGTTTCTTTCAATTTAAAAAACTTATAAAACTTTAATAAAAACTGCAGGTGTGTGTCTGTGTCTGGTAAATTTTTGGTTAAAACATGTTTGTTTTTCATTCAGTGGGTAGAAAATCCAGAAATTTTACTCAAGTAAGAGTAAAAATACTTCATAGTAAAATTACTCAAGTAACAGTAAAAAGTACAGCATAGTAAAAACACTCCTAAAAGTACTTTTTTCTTTCTTTTTTCAGAAAAAGTAACTCTTGCAAATGTAATTGAGTAAATGTAACTAGTTACTACCCAGCTCTGTTTATTACCAACTTATACACATGATTCCTCCATTTAATAACGTTCCCCTCTCACCGAAAGGACTGTGTGGGATGGTGTCTTTCTTTAAATCCCGCGCTGCCGTTCAAACATTTTCACTTGGATCTCTTTATTTTATTTTTTCTGTTTAGATTTTTTTCTTTAAAATTTATTCTTTTTAATTTTTATGAAGTGACCTTATGTGCCCTGAAAACACCTTTTAAATAAAATACATAATAACTACAATGCTGATGGAAGCGTTATGTATAGTTACCATGGTTACTGCTTCACGTGGTTACGCCCATCCGGGTATTTGTACTATTTTATATGTGTTTATGGGTGGCGACCAGGCGAACGAGCAGCTGCGCTCAATTTCCCGAAAATTGGGATTTATAAAGGAAAGGTGCGCAGGTTTGTGCGTACGCACCACGTCAAATAAATGATTTTTTTTTTTTTGTGCGCCGCACTTTTGTAAATTTATCGTACGCCAACACTTGGTGTGAAATCTGCGCACTCTTTTATATGTGAGGCCCCTGATCTTTTAAACTGTCACCTGTTTCTATGCGCCCTGATAAGCAAGCGGGAAGAAAAACAACAACCACGGCGGACGTTAATGAGGATTAAGTTATTGAACTCCTGCTCCAGTCGGACAACAACTTCGACATCGTAAGCTATGCTACACCGTTAGCATCCATGTTTACTTCCGCAAACACTAAGCACTTCTTCTTCTGAGCTCGCTCTCTATGTGTGACGTTGTTGCGCCCTCTACTGCGCTACACTTTTAGGACACTTTTCAGGTCGTTTCAAGTCATTTGGAAATCTGAACGACTACGCCAAAAATAATCTGATTTGATTTAAAAAGAAATCGAATTTGGGTCACTTCAGGCTGCAGTGTGAACGTACCCTTAGTTTTTTAGATGGATCACAAGCTGTGTGTTTACCCTGAGCCCACCCCCATACCTCCTGAAAAGTGGCCTTCCCGCATGCCTGGACACACACACACACACACACACACACACACACACACACACACACACACACACACACACACACACACACACACAGAGCAGTGGTGCAACAGTGAAAATGAATATTGAGTTTCAACTGTCTCTAACCACTGGTCTATTCATCTGCGCCCTCATCAGACCATTCAGCGGCCCCACCCTCACACACACTCTGCCCCACCCAGCGCAGTGGTCTGCTGGCCATATGTCAGCCCCATCTCCTCCGGGACACCTCTCCTGGGACCCCTGCTCCTTTTGTGTTTTTATGTGTGTGTGCACGTCTCATCCCGCTATCTCCGATCTAAATGTACCACACTGAGTCAGGAATGAAGAAGGCACGACCACATAACACAGACTTATCTTCAATATTCTTTACGTTTCTGGTTTGTTGGGAGGAGAAAAAAAACAGAGCAGGAGTTTAATGTGAACCGGCTGAAAACAGTGGCAGGCCCCTGTTTTCCTGTAGGGCAGCACTGACTTTGATATTTGGAGACATGGCTGTAAAATATGAATATGCGATGCGGGGAGTTGACGTTGTGGCGTCTGTGTGCATCTCTGTGTAGAAACATTAATGTAAACAGGCTCTAAAAAGAGCAAAAGCTGCTTTTTTTTAGCAGCAGACATGAGGAGCATTATTGTTTTCTGGGCCTTTATGGCATTTATACATGTGGTTCCTACTAATACTGCTACTTATCTTGTAATTATCAGCTTTATCTATTCTCCAGCATGTTTGTTCAATTTATTATGTCTTTGATTCACCAGAACTGCAGGGCAGTATCAGGACAAAAAATGCATTTATTCATTTCTTCACCATTTCAACAGTAAGATCTTATATTTTGTCAGACTCTGTAGAAAGTTTCTGCTTGATTTAATTAAAACAATGTTCACAAAAACATCCCTCTCTCTCTCTCTCTCTCTTTCTACATATATAAAGCTATGGAAAAAAAACTAAGAGTACACTGCACTGAACAACATTGAAAACCTGGTTATTCCACCAAATATTGGTTTCTGAACTCTTCCTGAGTTAAAACATTAATATTGTTGTTTCTAATGAATGTGAACTTGTTTTCTTTGCTTTGTTTGAGGTCTGAAAGCTCTGCATCTTTGTTATTTTGACCATTTCTCATTTCCTGCGAATAAATACTAAATTTTTCATTTTGGAGACACGTTGTCAGTAATTCATAGAATAAAAGAGCAATGTTCACTTTGCTCAAAGATATACATGTAAAATCTAAAACCAGAGAAACTGATAATCTTATGTGGTCTCTTAATGTGTGTGTGTATATATATATATATATAATTTTTTATTTATGTATTTTTTATTTTAAAAACATTATTACAAATTTTTTTTAATTTTTGAAATTTTAAAAATTGTAAAAAAAAAAAAATTATTAAAAAAAATATTTTAAAAATAAAAATACATGTTCAAAAATATTTCAAATAAACAATTCTAGGCCTGGTATTATATAATGATAATAAAGCATTTTATTTGTCGCCGCCTTTCAAAACACCCCAGGACACTTTAAAGCATTAAAAGTGTAAAATAATCTTGGGGAAACTAGTTTGAGTGTTTTAGTCTGTGTTTTTGTTGTTCTTGTCCTGAAATGAGCCGAATAAGTTTATGGCTCTCAGGAACTGGAGTTGGACCATAAATGTCTGTTTGGTCCAACAGCCAGGAACAAACATGAGTTTGTTTCAACTCTTTTTTATGTTTGGTGGTTTCTACATTTCATATCTGTGGTTTTCAGAGCGACCGACACCAAGTTGCTCTCCTTCTTGTCCGATCCATTCATAGTCGTTCTGTCTTTTCTGTTTCCAGGATGTTTTGGGTTTAATCTGTCGATCGCTCTCCTGGCAGCGCTTTGTGTTTGTGTCGGTTTGGTTTCATTAAGGCGGCCTGTTTTCTCCAGATGCCTCCCTCCTGCCTGGGCCTAAAGGACACGCGTGACGAACGCTCTGCATTAATAAGTGACGTAGCCTCACATCGTGGCCATTCAGGAGGTTTTCATGCTCAGATTGTAAACCAAACCTGCGTGAGAGCGTCGACGTGATTTCTGTGTGTGTGGTAGAAAACATTCAGGGCTTCCCTCTGACACAACACTGTTTTTATTTATTGGCACGTCCTTGTTGTTTGGCAAGCTGAGGCTCATTTCAAGTTGTTGTTCTTTGTTTGTGCACAAACCAAAATCCATGCATGTTCTTTACAATTATCCGGTTTCATTTTTTTTGATTTGGCTGCATCCCCTCTCAGTAGCCTAGGTAATGCTAAACACAACATGGAAGGAAATTTGTGTTTGGTCCAACGTTGCTTTGTTGTAACAATGGTTCTTGGCAATAAATCACATGCGGCTGGAAATTCAGTTTATTTCCACTTAAATGCTGCCACATTTATGAGGAAAAATGTTGAGCAATAGAGGTTGGTATGCAAGTTACTCCCATAAAAAGCTTGATAAAGCCTATCTGCCATTGCCAAGCAGTTTTTTTGGAGGAACCAGTGTGATGTGCGAGGCGTCGCCCTCTCTGAGGAATGAGGCTGCTCAGGCCTGCTCGCTTAATTTCAACTAAAGTTCATTTATTTGTTTACACGATAAAAACACAAAACAAACGAAAAAGAAACGTCACGTTAAAGCTGCTTTATGTAACGTATATAAAGATATATTTTTTTACATATTTGTTGAAATTGTCATTATGTTGTGATAGTTTAATTAGAGAAAAGAAAAGTCCCAACACTGATGAGAAACAACCAATCAGAGCCAGGAGGCAGGGCTTACACTGCAAAACATTTGAGCCACATTTAGTTGTGTCTAGTATCTTTTACTCTTTGGATCTTTTAATTTTTGGTCACTCTGCCCACTGTTGGTTATAACCTCATTTAAAAACCTTTATTTGTATTTGATTTCTGGCGTGTCGTTGAAGCTTCAACTCGCGGCTCCTTCTGGCTCTCGCTGCATCTCAACAGACTCGGTGGTGAAGATAAAACTCGTCTTCAGGCTCGATTATGAAGCTCCTGCTTTGTGTTTCTTGGCTCTGTTGAAAAGCAGCTGGCAGCAGCAGAAGAAAACATTCAAACAGGCGTGATGAAGACGATGTATCTCTGGGAATGTGGAGGCGGTAAATCAGCTAAACCATAGAAAACATTTAGCAAACAGAATTAAAGATTGCGGCGTTCTGAACTGGTTTATCGTAGCTTCATCTGGCGTGTTTTTGTTAGCATCTTAGCAACAAACTTTAAACTTCGCAACCTTTCTCCAAGTCTTTATTATTTATTTAGTTATCTCTTTATGTCAGCCTTCATTTTTAGACAATTCTCCCCTCTTTCAAAAAAGTATTTGGAATCCTACAGTCTTTTTTTTTAGGGTTTACTTTTGTACTTTAGATGTTTCAGTTTTAAAATCAACACAAAACCCAGTTTTCAAAAGATCATTTTTATTTCTTGAAAGAAGAAAGCTATCCAACCCAACATTGTCCTGTAGGAAAATAAACTTTCCTACCTTGTGAAAGTTTAAAATAACTGTGATTAACCACATTTATTGGCTACCAGCCACACCCTGACCTGACTGCAGACATGAATCAGCTGAATGCAACGCTGCTGACATGAAGTGTCAAAGATTTCAAAAAGGAAATGGTTACAGAGGCATTTGTCTAATTTATTTTAGCCTTGCAGTTTTACATGTTTGTCTAATATTGAGTGAGTTTCTGTGTCTGTAACCTGCATTAACTCAGTGACTTTTCCTGTCTGCTGCTATTTTCCTGTTCATCCCGATTACAAGATAAAAATCAAAAAAATTTCTGGATAAATTCAAGAGGCCTGCCAAAGCGGCCGTATCGGTTGGAACCCAGCGTTCTGATCCAACATGGTTCACTAACATGGACTTACTGCATTCACTATGCTAACATTAGTGTATAAACTAAAACTAGCCAAAATGCTAAGGTTAGCTTAAATGCTGTAAGTAGATCTAGTCCATTCAACAAAGCTAATAAACAAAAAAATAGCTAAAATGCTTATTTTAGGTACAATGCTAATGTTATCATGAGGGTTATCAATAGCATATTGTGTTGGTGCTACCAATACAATGAGAGTTATCACTAGCAAGTTGACTAACACAAAATTACTCCTTTCAATATGCTAGCATTAGTGTATAAACTATAGACATTTAGCCAAAATGCTAAGGTTAGCTATCTTAGCTGGTTATCATCAGCACATTTGTTTACATCGACTTAATCCATTCAGTGTAATAAATGTAGCTAATAAGTCAAAAATGAGCCAAAATGCTTATTTTGGGTATAAAGCAAATGTTAGCACCATGGCTATCAGTAGTATATTGAGTCACTAGCATGTTGTTGCTACCAGTAGGGTGAAGGTTGTCACTAGCATGTTGACCAACACAAAATTACTCCATTCAGTGTGTTAACATTAGTGTTTAAGCTAAAATGAGTCGTAATGCTGAGATTAGCTTCAATTAAATCCTGTTAGCAGCATGTTTATCACCAGCATGTTTGTTTACATCGATCTAGTCCATTCAGTGTAATAAATGTAGCTAATAAGTCAAAACAATTAGCTAATTAGCACAGTCTTGAGGCATTGAAGGTCAGAAATGCTTATTTTAGGTGCTAGAAGAATGTTAGCATGAGGGCTACAGCTAGCATATTGAGTCACTAGCATCTTGATGCTACCAGTAGGAGTTGATTGGTCCATTCAGTCTGCTAACAGCTCTGTTGTTTTGTCACTTATTTTGCCAAACTCATGTTTGCAGGTGTAAGGTGGGTTTCATTGACTGTCGTTTTGTTTTATATTTATTACAGCTTAGAAAAAAAAAATAAAGTTAAACTTGGCATCAAGAGTTTAACCTGCAGCATTGTAGTTATGTAAATGTTTGAAAGTTGGTTCAGGTTTTAAAAGCTTTGACTGAATTTCATGTTTGGATCAAAAACAAAAGGAGAAGCCAAGCAGAGCAGCTGTGGTTCTGGTTCTGCTCTGAATCGGATCACCGGTTCCAGTTGCTGCCCTCTTCCTCGTCTTTCTGGCACTAATGTGTTGATGGGTGAATTATGACACTTTCACTTGGCTTTTCTCTCTTCCTCTCCTCATTTGCCTTGCTCTGTAACGCTCTAACCCTCCGCAGATGACCGTCGGATAGACTTCCTCTGAAGTGCAGATGGGTCACACGCATGGGGCCCGGGTTAACGGGCCGGCAGGTTGGGGAGGTGGAGATCACAAGGTCACGGCAAAAGGTCAGGATAACTGGGAAGTCCTCAAGCTCAGCGGAGGCCCACTCGTCTGATGCTGCTTCTGCGGAAACTCCTGAACAAATAAATCTGCCTCGGTTTCACATTTTATAGGTAAAAATTACCACAGATTGACTGTCAGGAAAACATTTTATAATGTTTGGAGCTCTTTAGCATCTGATTTTAAGAGCAGCAAAATATTTACTTCACAGCTGAAGAGCTGGCTGAACCAGAACCGTTCTCGCTTTTAAATGTAATTCTTTTGATTCAGTAGCTTAAATATGTTGTTTCATGTCATGTTTTTATGGTTTTATTGTATTTACTGTTTCATTCAAACCAACTGTTAAAGCTCCTTCTAGAGATTTAGCTTTGGTTATAAACTCTGGCTACATTTCCATCACTAATATGAGCAAATCTTTGTTTATATTCTGCTAATGTTGAAAAAAAAAAAACCTCAACTGCTGTGTTTCCATTAAATGAAATTAAAATCACCTGAATAAGCTTGTTTATGCAATAAGAAATTAAAAGTCATGGCAGAGATGAATGTAAACGGATATAATTCAAACATGGCGCTCATCATCCATCAGAGGAGTCGCTGGCGTCTTATTCAGGCGCCGCAGCAGCTTCATACGTGGCGCTTTGGGGAAATTATAGTTGATTTTAACAGAAGAGTTTGGATTCAACACATTCGAATAAGAACCTTGAGCTGGACATCGCTACTTCCTGTTATCGTCTTTGTCGTTCTCCCCAGTAGTAACGTCGGGTTGATGGTCATGTGACTCCTGTGATGCGAAAAAAAATCTGTTTATTTTAATAAAACCACCTGATCCTAATGCAAAAACCTTTTTTCAAAATGTGTGTTTCTTTTAAGTGAATTTATTTTCTGAATTTAAATTTGCGTAATTTTATGGTTAAATTGAATACAGCTCTTGTTATGCAGGCACCAGATTGTCTCGATGTTTCTCACATTTGATCCTATAAAAAACTTTTTTGGGATTTTTATTCAAATCTGTACACAATGTTTGCTACCAGCAGAAAAAGGATAAGTAATGACAGCTCTGTAAAAACCATAATATACCACTTAAACTGATCAGTTTGTCTGATTTTACTCTTTACAGGTTTGATAAAATGAACATTGTTATTTTATTCTGTGAACCACTGACAGCATGTCTCTGAAGTTACAAAAAAAGTTTTTATTTGCAGAAAATGAGAAATGGTCAAAATAACAAGAGATGCAGAGTTTTCAGACCTCAAATAACGCAAAGAGAACAAGTTTATATTCATTTATAAACAGCAATACTAATGTTTTAACTTGGGAAGAGTTCAGAAATCAGTATTTGGTGGAAAAACCAGGAGGTTTTCAGTGGGTTCAGGCGTTAACCACCTAAAAGTCGGTAACAAAAGCTGAGAACAATCATGGAAATAAATAAGTAAAATAAACTGATTTGTTGCCGTTTCAGTTCTAAAAACAATCATTCTCTCATCAGACATTTTTGCGGTAACATGAAATATCGGGTCACTTTAGATGACCTTTAATGTTGTTGTTCATGAAGGTTTTCTCCTGCTCTGCCAGGTTCGTCTGAACTTTTCCTGCTGTTCTCAGACAAGAGGCCACACAAGACAAGCATGCTTCACATTTCAGCCATTAGACGAAGAACTGGGGAAACATTTGTCATAAACAGACATTTCTGAGTTCAGCGCAGCAGCTGCGGTCTTTTCCTCCAGCTTCGGTTGCAAATCGTTTCCTCCAGACTCTTTGATCTCAGAGGAAGGTGTTGGAGAGAGAGAGACTGTCGGCGTCTGGTCGTCTTCTTCCAACCGAGCACCTTCAGGCGAGGCTGGGAGGCAAACTGCTCCTCAGGGTTCAGTCACTTAGGAAGGAGTTTGATTTAAAAAAGTTTGACCTTATTAACTGTGTGTGTGTGTGCGTGTGTGTGTTTAAAGCTGCTCAGCAGGTCGACTCGTCCTGCTCTTTGATAAACTCAGACGCTTCCCTTTAGCGCCTGACTGACGAAATGCAAACCGTCACCTTGTGCTGCAGCTCTGAGGGAAATGCTGCAGCACATCAGGGACTCGATTCACCTGAAAACAATTCAACTACCTGCTTCACTCGGCCAGAGATGAAATGAGAGGTCAGCTTTCAAAAATGATTTTCTACATGCTACCCATACATTTTTCAAACTAAATATTTGGCTAGAAATCGAAATACTTGGCTCCAAATTAAATATTTATTTGAGAATAAAATACTTTACAAACGGAATATTTAGGTTTCAAATATTTAGATCTCAAACTAAATATTTAGTTTGAAAAACTATCATAAATATTTAATTTGGAGTTAAATGTTTAGTTTTCTAACTAAATATTTCATTTGAAAGATAAATATTGAAAGTAGAATTTATTTCCCAAGTAAATATTCAATTTGGAGCAAAATATTTATTTTTGCAAAATAATTGTTTAATTCCCAGATAAACTTTTAAATTTGGAGTTAAATATTTACTTTTCGAATTAAGTTCAATGTTTAGTTTGGAGCATTTATAAATAATATGGTGAAAATATTACTTTTCTCTGTCAAAGTCCAAATAAACCAAAGTTTTGCTTTTAATTTTTTACAGTGTAACTTTACAAACGTCACTCCAGACCTGGAAACTTTAAAAATAATTTATTTTTGGAGTGAAATCGACTTTGTTCAATGAATCTGTTTGTTCTCCCTTTAATTTGTGATATTATCTTTAATTTATTTCCTAAACGTAGCAGCAGCTCTCATTCTGGCTCAGCAGTGATAATTAGATTAGAGCAGAGAAATCACAAAGGAGTTTGAGTTTTCACACTCAGACGACGAGTGAGATGCAGATCAGAGAGACAAAGTCACAAAGAAACTTTAAATAGGACAAATGAGGCTCTTTAGCATGTAGCTGCTGACAGGAACAGGAAGAGAGGCAGAGATTAAAGGAGCAGAAATTAACAACTCAGATTTATTTCCAACTCAGACCCAGATAAATAAGTTTCGCCTCGACACTGAAGCTTTGTCTGTTTTCTATTTTTATTTCTGCCAAACAGAGGCGTCTCTGTCTGCTGGGCTTTTCATAGATCTGGTCCTGAGTGGGAATATAAATAAAGGCAGCAGCAAAGAGACGATGGTTGTTATGGTTCATGACTCGTTTCATCCAGTAGAAATGAGAAACTTTTGGTAAAAATATGTTTTTGTAAAAGTCAAGAGGAGAAGCAGAAAACATTTTATTGAAAGGAATCAAACAGAGATAAATAAAGCAACATGTTAGATCCACTGTAGATGGAGAAAGCAATAAAAAAATCTGACATTTTCTAAAAAAAAAAAAAAGGAATTTATGACTGAAAGTTCAAAATATACTAGAAAAAAAATATTTTTACATATTTTTTTTTACTTTTGAAACTCAAATTTCCATGATTGTCCTTGAAAATTTCTGAGATTAATCTCAACTTCAGTTTTCCCCAGTAAATCTTTGTCTAAACTTTTCTTCTAGAAAATTTCTGAAATTAATCTTAAAATATTTCATTTTTTTAGATTTATTCCTCTTTTTTTCCAATCTACATTGAACCTCATACGTCATCATAGTTAAGATGTTAATCCACACAAATTATTGAAATTAATGAAAAAAGGGTCTTTTTTTAATCTTATCCTGACTTCTCTGCTAGAAGTGATGACAAAAAAAGAAAGTACAACCTTCGTTCTTTTGGAGGATTAAATAATCTGTTTTGCTCCAAATACAAAACTATTTTAACCCAACTTCAACTTTTTTATGTTATTTATAAAATAAAGCCAGACGGAAAACTGTGAGAAATAAATGAATAGATGCCGCAAAATGGCTGCTGGAAAAGACGATTGTTTTGTTGTTATCATCCAGAAATAACTTGCTGCGTTCTTGTTGGTTGTGCAGGAGGCTCCACTTCTGCTTTTCAGATATGTACGGTTGTATAATTTTGCATGTTTGCAGCCGTTTTCTTGTACAAGTGTAAACGTTGAGTTGGGGTTGTGAATATAAAGTGGCAGAGGCCTTAAAACCGCTCAGTCAGAACTAAAATCTCATTATCTGGACATTAAATTTGTGTAAAATTGTAACGAGCCTGCGTTGTGTAGCTTATTCATTAGAGGATCACCTCCTGCGGTCAGTGAGGTGTGAACCCCAGAGGCTCCGCCCTCTTCCACTTCCACACCAGTCCAGGTGGCGAAGCCCCACTGTGCGACACTTTCCACCAGTATGAGGAGCTGCTCCACATTTGGATACCAGCAGGTGGAAATGTCTCCTTCTCAGCAGATATTAAGATAATCAGGTCTGAATGATGAAATGAAAAACCTCCTAATCTGTGAGGAAGGCCCAGTGGACTCCAGGTCTGACCCGTTAATGCTCAGATATCGACCGGGTTCTGGATGATCTGGGTCGTCTGACGCCTGCTGTTCGTACCAACGTCTGTCTGAGCTTCAACCGGAGTCTTACTTTAGGTCGACTGTCTCTCTGTGCTGCCGCTCTGCAGATAAATATGTCACCATCACTGCACACAGTGTGTGTGTGTGTGTGTGTGTGTGTGTGTGTGTGTGTGTGTGTGTGTGTGTGTGTGTGTGTGCTCCAGATTACCAACGAATCTCTTATTTTAATCCGGACTGTAACAAAAATGCTCTGAGCGTCTTATTTTAGACTTTGGGTTCATTCAGGAAGCAGAATCTGAACATTTGTGGAAGAAAGTAGCCAAATGTCACTAGATGTGACCCTGTGACCATCAGGGGTCAAGGTTCAAATTCTTGGACTGCCTGACAGGCGGAGACTTGTGCTGCCAAAACCACGGAGCTCTCAGTTAACAGAAACTGAGTTTAGACATTTAAATACATCTGATTAATGGAAACACTGCAATTTAATCAGTCAAGTTTGTTTTAAATCACATTTCAGCAACAAGGAAGATCAAAGTGTTTTAAGTCATAAAGACACAAAGTCAATAAAACCAGTAAATGTTTTGTCACTACACATCAGAGTGTTGGTCAGTGTTTCATTTATTAAGGCTAAAAAACAAACCTAACAGCTGGTTTTAGTCTAGATTTAAAGGAACTCTGTGTTTTGGGTGTTTTGCTGTTTTCTAGAAGTGCATAGAAGATTTCAGTAAAATGTTTTTGAGGAGATTTTTCAGCCGTTTTCAAATGGATCAGATGTCAAACTCTTCTTGGGAAATCCAGATCATGAATGCTCTTAAAGGGCCGGTTGTTCCAGAATGCATTGATAAAACCTGTTAAACTGTTAAAATATAAATTCTTGAAATTAAATTATATTATTGAGCATCTTTTCAGGGCCTTCATTATTTTGTGATTCTATTTGTGATTTTTTTTGCAATAAAAAAGTGTTTGTGGTTCTAATGTGGAAATATTTGCGCTTTATTACTCGTGGTATAGCGCTGACATCAGTTAAAGCTGAGGCAGATGTTTAGTACAAGTAAAGTTTTTGACAATTTTTGAGAAAAATCTGCA